GAGCCCCTATAGAAGATGGTGGCGAGTTATAAATAAAGTTTAATTAATTAATTAATTATGTATCAAATTACCTTTCAGGTAATGTGTATCAGTTGTATAGGGAACAAGTAAGTAATGAAGTTCATTTCATGGTTATATATAGTATACAGGCAGTCACTGAGTTACAAACATCCTACTTACAAACTACGCAAAGTTAAGAACAGGGGTGAGCCAGCAGAAAGTGAGACAAAACTATCCCTCAGAAGGGAAATTCACTCCTGGAAGAGTTATCATGAGGGAAAAGGTGTTTCCACTGAAGCTTTATTTATCCTTGTTTCCACAACATTGTTCAAAATCTAATTATCACTGGGACAGAAAGGGGCACAGGCAGCAAAACAAATACCACAGGAGTGTTAACCCCTGTGCTACTCAAAGCACACACATGGGTAGAGTTACACTTTAAAAATGTACCTGTTCCAACTTACAAACAAATTCACTTAAGAACAAACCTACAGGTCCTATCTTGTTTGTAAGTTGGGGACTGTCTCTATATCTTACTGGATCCCAGGAGTGAAATAAAGATTTTTGTAGCTAAAATGTGTCTCTGGCTTCTGATCATTCTTTGCTTTTTCTGAGTACTAAATTTACCTTGATAGCAACATTTACAATTTCTTTATTTCTTTTTTTATGCAGACAACAATCAAGGGAAATTGGGGAACATGCCTATTCAATGATTTGTGGATCCTCGATGAATAAACACATGGTGGGATGCCATTCCAAATTCTTTAAGCTTAACCGGCTGGAAGAAATCAGCACACGGTACTACAATAGCAGGGAAGACCGACTAGGTTTCTTCCATAACTTGGAAACAGTGCAGAAATTCAAATCTGATGAAGAGGTATGTGGTGGTTATGTCATGTTGTCATTTATATGTTTCTCTGTATCTTAACCAGAAGCATACATTGTAAAGTATGCTTTCAGATGCCGATTACCTTGTGTGTTGATTTTATTGTTGATAAGCTATCTATGGATTGTGAATAGCCCAGATGCTATGCCACGACTGTTCACAAACACTCCAGTGGTGTGTGTGTGTGTGTGTATTGGGTAGGCGGGAGTTTATTGGATGATATTTCCGTAAGGACTATTTGGCTTACCGTGTGCCCTATAAGTAAGCCAGTTGTCCTCAGACATTGTGAAATACGCTATTTTGTCTATAGATTTGAAATACATCCTCTCTGTTTCTATACATAGAATTGTGAGGTTACTTGAAGAAGTAAGAGAGTCCTGGAGACTAGACTTGTTTACGGAATTAATTTCTTTCATTTCCTCCATTTCCTTTGGTACCTTTGGTACCTTCAATACTTCGGGAGCCCATAATGGTAAGGGCCCTTCCAGTACAAAAACCCTCCCGACACGAAAGCAAGCGGGAGCTAATCTCCAATCCTCCTCTGCTTTTCAGCATCACAGTTTAATCTTTTTTATTAATCCTCCAGCAAACAAAACGAAAATCCCCGTTCTCTGAAAACTACTACCAGTTACCTCTCCTCTTCAAGGAGGTCATCCTTCTTCCTTACCTGGAAGTGGGAAACCTCCTTAAAATGCCTTGGAAAGAGTGTGTGGTTGCTGGTGTAGTGCAGGCCCAGGAGAGAAAGTGTGTGCGTGCCTGCCTACAGCTCCTCTCCTCTAGAGTAGACAGCTTTAAGAACAAGAATATATGGCAGTGTGGACTCAGGGCCCTTCCACACAGCCCTATATCCCAGAATATCAAGGCAGAAAATCCCACAATATTTGCTTTGATCTGGGTTATCTGAGTCCACACTCAGATAATATGGGATTTTCTGTCTTGATATTCTGGGATATAGGGCTATGTGGAAAGGACCTCAGATAACCTAGGGTACTTCCACACAGCCATATAACCCAGAATATCAAGACAGAAAATTCCACAATATCTGCTTTGAACTGAATTATCTGAGTCCACACTGCCATATATTCCAGATAATGTGGGATTTATTCAGCTGTGTGGAAGGGACCATAAACTGGCATTTTTGGGGCCCTTCTACACTGCCAGATAAAATCTAGATTATCTGCTTTGAGCTGAATTATATGTCAGTGTAGACTTATGAAATCTAGTTCAATTATTGATTTGTTCGTTTGTTTATACCCCGCTTTATCTCCCCAAAGGGGACTCAAAGTAGCTCGACACCAAAGCATTGGTATCCAATTTAAACTATACAAATATACAAACATTAAGACATAATTAAAGACAAACCGCATCAAAAATTTTCAGTTAAAAACCATAAAAACATATTCAATGTTAAAAACCATAGCACTCCCTGACTAGCTCTTAAACACCTTCATCTTTAAATGCCTGTTTGAATAAAAATGTTTTAGCCCACTGCCAGAAGGACAGCAGATAATCTGGATTTTATCTGGCACTGGTAGGTGTGGCCTTGGTTTCACTCTTTTGTGCTAAATCCTGTACCCACTGAGGGGCTGTATCGATAGAGAAATCGATACAGAGAACTAAATGAAAGTATTGCCCCTCAAAATATGAATTTTGACATCCAAATGAATTTTCTTCTGTCTCAAATTTCTAACTCCTCAATCATTTTACACAACAGCAACGCACTTGGAAGCAGAGTTTAGATTAGGCCCCTTCTACACTGCGATATACAATCCAGATTATCTGATATGAACCAGATTATATGACAGTATAGACTAGTAAAGAGTAGAGACATCACATTGACAACAAAGATCCGCATAGTCAAAGCCATGGTATTCCCTGTAGTAACCTACGGATGTGAGAGCTGGACCTTAGGGAAGGCTGAGCGAAGGAAGATAGATGCTTTTGAACTGTGGTGTTGGAGGAAAGTTCTGAGAGTGCCTTGGACTGCGAGAAGATCCAACCAGTCTATCCTCCAGGAAATAAAGCCCGACTGCTCATTGGAGGGAAGGATACTAGAGACAAAGTTGAAGTACTTTGGCCACATCATGAGGAGACAGCAAAGCCTAGAGAAGACAATTATGCTGGGGAAAGTGGAAGGCAAAAGGAAGAGGGGCCGACCAAGGGCAAGATGGATGGATGGCATCC